CTTCCGAGATGCCCAGGGTCGCCTGGGGCTATTTTAAGCCACGCTGGTGCTTAGGGAAGTTCATTTTTCCCTGAGCAAGTCATTGTTTACACGTCAGGATGCTGAGCTCATGAGCGAGTGGGACAGCATTCCTGGTGGCCGTTAACGAGCCTTGCGGAGGCATGAAGTGAGGCACCGCCCAGAACTCCGGATCCCATGACCTCACAGGGGGTGCAGCGGGGGGGAGGGAGAAGGCGGGAAGAGCGCCAGTGACCCCGTTTCAGCGCTCAGCTCGGCGGCCCGATGACTGTCTCCGCCATCCTAAAACTCTTCCAGCCCCGACCGGTGTGGCTCAGTGGTTAGAGCGTCGGGCCTGGGACTGACGGGTCCCGGGTTCGATTCCGGTCCAAGGCACCTGCCTGGGTTGCAGGTTCCCCGGCCCTGGTCGGGATGCGTGCAGGAAGCAACCGATGGACGTGTCTCTCTCACATCGATGTCTCTCTCTCTCTCTCTCTCTCTGTCTCTCCCTCTCCCTTCCACTCTCTCTAAAAAAATTCACTGGAAAAATAGGCTCAGGTGAGGATTAACAAGAACAAAATTTTCCAGGAAAATGGATCCTATAAAAAATGGCTTTGGAAATTCTGGCAAGAAATTCTTCCATCGACCCGTCCATCCCTTTGGTCTGTTTGTGTGGCCTCAGCAGGACTTCCTTCCATCTTTCCTTCCTCCTCCCCTCCCATCCCTCCGGCCCTCCCGTCTTCATGAAACACCTGCTAAGTGCCGGGCGGAGCTGAGCACTGGGCTGAGGAAACGCATGAAGCATGAGGGTCTAACTCAGGGGTGGGGAGCCCGGCCGGCGGGGCTCAGTGGTTGAGCATCGACCTGTGGACCAGGAGGTCCGGGTTCGATTCCCGGTCAGGGCACAGGCCCGGGTTGTGGGCTCGATCCCCAGTGTGGGGCGTGCAGGAGGCAGCCGGTCCATGATTCTCTCTCATCATTGATATTCCTATCTATCTCTCCCTCATCCTCTCTGAAATCAATAAAAATCTATACTAATAAAAGGGTAATATGCTAATTAGACCGGACATCTTCTGGACAACCTTCCGGACGTCCTTCCGTACAAAGCCACGGTGGCGGGGCTGAGGCAGAGGAGGTTAGGGGTGATCAGGCCAGAAAGGGGGAGCAGTTAG